CTCCTCTGATATGACCAAGTAGCAGCCCAGACCTAAATCCCATAGAAAACTCATGGTTGATCATTAATCAGTGTGTGTGTGTGTGACACTGACATGTCTTCGCTTCCAAAGCTGGAAACTATCATCCAGGAAGCTTCGGCCTCATTTCCCTTGAAAACTCTGCACACTTTAGCTGATTCTGTTAATGTTTGAAGTGCAAGGGCAATGCCACAAAATATTAGTAATGTCATATATCTGTCTTGCTGTGCATACCAAGGTGAAGACAAAGTTTCCTGGAGGGTGTTGGGGGCAAGAGCTCCACATCAATCCTTCCCTTGGGCTGTGCTCAAGGGCACGACCAGTTATGGCACCCTAGAGAGTTAATTAAATTTTGTAATGTGGAGTTGGGCACACTAAAGAATTACTATAGCTTGGTTGAAAATTATCCAATAAGTCTCTAAAGAGGTAATAAAAAGTAAATTTTAATAGAGCCATCAACCATCTCCTCTCAACAACTAGAGAATATGATACAATTGTAAGGCATGATTGTAGCTGATGACATGTGCAAGGAAAATCAAGCAAACCAAATTCATACTTGACACTATAACAAACCCTAGTGTTGGGTCTTACATAGTCAATTAGAACTGTAACAGAGTATTCTATGAAACAGATTCTGGACCACAGGGAAAGTTGTTGGAATTCAAATCTGCCAATTGATTTCTTTGCAAAGTTCAATTTTGTTGGCAATACTAAGATGGCCACACTATATATACTGATGAAAGTATCATAGGATTATAGACTAGTGTAGAAATTGGCTATGTTAATACAACTGTGGGGACTCCATTGGTTGTGGTATAATTTGAGTCCAAAGGATTCATCTTCAAGGGAAAAAACTGTCCACAAACTTCATTATCTCGAACAGTCTTGAATGTAAACAAAAGTGTGAGCTTTCTGGAAAGTTCGTAGATGACACAGCGTAATTTTCATCAACTTAAAAAAACTATTCTTGAATTTCTTGTAGCCAAAAGGCTCTTAACATTTATCTACCTATCTATCCATCTATCTATCTATCTATCTATCTAAATATATATATATATATATATATATATATATATATATGGTTTAAGATAAATAATAATATATGACATCTTAAATTATTCATACTGACATACGGTTAACATAATATATTTATCATTACTGACTCAACTGCCTTTTTTGAGAGTATGCTTGTCATTTTGACCCCAGTGACGCAAAAAAATAACATTGTGTACTGGCTGTGACCATGGGTATGGTGATTTGCCATTGAAATTCAATGGAAATGTTTGTCTATGTGCAATTGGTGTTATACTAAAGACCATCGCAAATAAGTGATTGCATTATTTCCTGTTTGTTGCCAAGTTATACCTTCCTTCTCAGTAAAGTATGGTAAATACTCTGGGGAGTTGCCCTTGCTAGGAAAATACGAGAAGGGTCAGGGGCTCTGCCCCTTGGTTAGGATTTTTTTTGGGGGGGTTTGAATATTCCTCAGCTAGGCAAATATTTTTAACACAATGCCGACATGCACGACGTGTATGTACGTGCTATGCCCACTGTGAGTCCTTGTTTGTTTTTACACATAGATGGCTACACTTGAACTAAGTCACCAATGAGCCAATTACGAGTACTGCCTGTCTCACCTGTTTACCCTTTTCTTTGATTTACGAAAATATTTTGTTATCATATTTTGCTGTTAATAATGTTTATAACATTATAGTAATTATAAGGTTTATAATAAAAATAACACCATTGATATTCATAACACCAGTAAAAAATACATTTTTCCCACCAATTCAAATCATGTAAGGTCACAGAGTCTACTAATTGACTCCTTTGTGGCTAAGCACTAGCAGTGTCAAATCCAGCTCTTGTTCAGATTTTGCATTTTTTCGAAATTTTCAATTTTGATTCCATTATTTCTCCCGTGTCCTTCCCCCCCCCCCCCCTTCAACCCCTAATTCCACAAGGGTCCCCCAAGATTGAAGAGGTAGGAAGAAATAACTGACAAATAGGTGCAGTTGTCTTATTTAGAACTATCATTTTGTCTATCAGCCCCAAAGGTCATAGATTGAAAAGCTCACTAAAAATATGTGTCATTATAGCATATTTGCCAAGGCTCTGTTCTGTAAAATAATGTGATCTAAATATCTTGTAGACAGCACCCTCCCTATATAGGTGATAGGGAAAGCACATCACTTCACTACAAATGTACTTCTGCTACAGATATGTAACTAATTGATTTCCTTTAATGCTTTCCCCTGCAATATCCCCAGTATATAAGGAATGCTCAAATCATACGAAACTTGAAGAAAGCTATAGAAAGTCAGGACAATATATAGTATAAGGTAGTTTGGCAATAAAACCAACATGAAATGATAGAACAATACAAACCAAGACAAAGTTCTTCTATGACAATATGTGTGCAAATGCTTCCCAAGGCTGCTATACATAAAAGAAAAGAGAAGATCCCCCAATTTTGCTTAAGTCGCTTATCTTGTTTACACTGTGAGGGTGAATTCTAGATGCATATACTGCCACTGGGGTCTAGGGGGCATAGGCCCCTGGCTAGGCATATATATTACCACAGGGGTCCAGGGGGCAGGAAATACATACCGTGGTATTAGGTTAGGACGTTTTGTTTAACAACTACGGGGGTCCTGTTTTACCCCATAATTTTCTTGATATACTTCATGCCCTCCCCTGCTATCGGGACTATCAAATCAAGATTATTGATGGAGATGGTGATCATATCTCCTCAACAATTCATTTGCACAAGGAACAATGCCTAGAATCGTTGAAAGCAGTGGATTTCATGCAGAAAAATATAAAAATTGTTTCGAAAGTAACCCACTACCCTCTTCTACATATTGACCGGGGGGATCTTCTCTTTTCTTTTACGTATAACACCCTAGGGAAGCATTTGCACACATATTGCCATAGAAGAACTTTGTCTTGGTTTGTATTGTTCTATCATTTCATGTAGGTTTGATTTCCTAACTCTGCTACTACCTTACACTACATATTGACCAAAAATCATATTGTGTACAGTTGAAAATCATTTCCAAACTTATCAGGACCTTTTACCAAAGTAAATATTGGTATGTGTATTCCATCTTTTACATAAAGAATATTGACCCTCTACAACAGCTTCTATAAAGTGAGATTTAAAGAAATATCTAAACAAAAAAATTAACCTTGAATTTCACATATAATCAAACCTATTATTGGCCTATATCTGAATAGACAAAAATCGTAATGGACAAAAGCTACACAACCATTTCACAGTCACAATAAGTACCTAACAAACTAAAAACAAAAACAAAACAAAACAAAAAAAGCATTAAAACTACATTTCCCATTTAGAGCAACTCAAAATTCCAAACCTAATTTTCGCGCTTGGTCCTTCTTCCCTTGACATCACTGACAACAAGCGTTTCTTTTTTTCATCGCATGACCACACGCAAAAAACTATACTCATGGAATCTAAAGCCCAAGAAAAGTAGTTGCTACATCTAAAAAAAAATATGAAACAAGAAAAAACGAACTGCCAAGCGCCTTAGGTCGTAATCCCGCCGTATATCAGCTGATGTAAACAAAAGCTGCAAGGGGTAACGAACTTATGGCAGAACGTCGCGGAAAAAATATATATATTAAATATATATTATAATATATATATCAAATAATTATAATTATAATACATATATATTAAATAATTATATTATGATATATATATTAAATAGTTATATTATAATATATATATATACATATATTAAATAATTATAATATAAAATATATATTAAATATATATTATAATATATATAAAATATATATTATAATATATATAAAATATATATTATATTAAATATATATTATATAAAAATATATTACGATACATTAGCATAGTTTGAAATATATGAAAATAAATGAGCTTATTACTGTGCGTTACTGGTATGGACTTTGTATAGTAGATGAAAATTATATGCACAGACATGAAACTTTTAATGGAGATCATAATGATAGTAATAATAAAGGATAATGATAGTGGTTAAGATAATGATAATGAAAATAATTGTAATAATGATAATCATAGTAATTATAATGATAATAAAAATGATAATGATGTTGATAATAATTATAATAACAACAATAACAACAACAATAATAATAACAATAATAATAATGGTAAAAGTAATGACAATGATAATACTAAAAATTATCATAACATTAATGATCATATTAATACTGATGATAATAAGAATGAGAGTAATAGTAATTATAATAAATGTGATAATATTAATGATAATAATGATAATTCTAATAACAAGGATAACAATAATAATTGTAATAGTAATTGTAATAATAATGATAATAATAACAATGACAACAGGAATAACAACAATAATGATAATAATAATCATAATGATAATAATAACAATGATGATAGTAATAGTAATTAAATTATAACAAAATAAATATCAATAATGATAAAATAGTAAAAGTGACAATAATAATAATGATAATAATCATACATTAATAATACAATTAAAATAATAATGATGAAAATAGTAACATTACTAAGATACTACTATTACTACTACTACTACTACTAACAATAACAAAGACGATCTTGTCAACAATGATAATATTGACAATCGAGATGATGATATTAACAAAGATGATGTTTAGATGATCTTGGAACTAATGATAGCAACAAAAACAACAATGATGATGATGGTGATAATAAGAGTAATTTATAATGATAATGATATTAAGAATGATAATAATAATAGTAATTAATAATAAAAAGGATAATGGTGATAATAATAATAATGACAATAATAATAATAGTGCTAACAATGAGAGTAATAATAGTAATAACATTAATGATAATGACAATAATAATAATAATAATAATTGTCACTGCGGCCTTGCCCTTTTTGTTAGAGTATGTTTACCGAATGGATACTTCAAAGGATTCTGGAGAAAAACAATTCTTGTTGCTTCTTCCTTTTATTATCCATAACTGATGAAATACAATTTCTACATGGTCATCTATATCTTCCATGCCAGTACAATAGTAGCAATAGCCTTCTGTGTATTCAACTTTGAAACCTAATCTTTCAAAATATTTTCATTCACCACTTCTTCCTTCATTGGGCCACTACACTTACATGGCTCCTCTAAATTGTTTAACATTTACAATTAACATTATACTACCTTAAAACTATATTCTTTACAAAACTCTTTCTTGAAAGTAAATACAAAAATAAAACATTATCTTTTGAGGTATCACAAATTAAATAAAAGCCCTTGGTGGGGACTTCCTTGGTCATAAAATCAACTCAAACAAAATTCTATTCCTTATATTCTAATATCATAATTAGACTATGTTATTAGATCTCTCAACATAATAAATTCTTTAATCCTTTTACCATTTTTATCAAGACATGAATCGGACATCATAATCTTTGTTTTCCTGACATGCCCATATTCATCACAAATTTCCAGTGGTTTCTAGTTTCAATATCAATATCACCTACTTTCACATCTCTTCTGGGTTTAATCCACTTATCTCTAGACTGATGAGATTGTAGAAACTCTTTCTTCCATCTAGACCAAAAACACATTGGCTAAAGACTGTACTCTTCCCCATCTTTTCCTAGATATAGATCATTACTTTGAAAGTTACATGGTGATGGCAATATAACCTTTAATTTCATAGTCAAAAGATGGTGGTTTGGTGTTGGAGGATCTAAGTGAATTTAATTAATACTGTCCAGTGTCAATGGGTGACTATTGACAATGGACTCTGCTTCAACCATAAATATTTGTAATGAATCATCTAGCTGAGTTCTATGTTGACAAAGTATCACAGACAAAATATTTTGTACAGTATGAATATGTCTCTCCCATACACCTCCCATATGACTAGTATAAGGTACATTCATTTTAAAATTAATCCAATCACAATTGTTCTTTAACATTACATTTTTGTTTGATCCATTTCCTTTACGCAAATCTCAAGTTCTACCTAGAAAATGATAAGTATTGAGAAAAGAATCAGTACCTATAGATTTAACAACTTCTAGGTGAACAGCTTTTGAAATTAAGCACGTGAACAATGCTCCATACCTCTTGAGTTTACTGTGTCTTACCTTCACATAAAATGGACCAAAATAATCTAAAGTACAATCAGTGATTGGAACAGAGGGTTCAAGTGTGTCCTTTGGCAAAAGTATTACCTCTTGCTTTTTTACACACACTACAGCTAATGTGCTTAGCTACCATAGATGATCCTCCTACAATCCAGTAACCTGCTGATTTTATTTCATTTAAAGTTATGCCACGGTCTTGATGGTAAACTCTTTGGCGATAGAGACAAATCAACAATTCTGATATATGGCATTTAAAGGATGTCTACTTGCCTCATTCAAGTTTGCTTGACTAAGTCTTCCTCATTCTGTATCTAAAAATATATTTAATTCATACAAACAGCTAGTTTTATTTAGGACATTCTCTTTTGTTTGAAGAACCCTTTTTTCATCAGCATAATGTTTACTCTGAAGTTCCTTTTATTATTACCTTCTCTGCCTTTTCAAGCTCTGAAACTTTCACAGAACTATATGTTACATTTCTCTTCTTATCAATTTTCTCCTCAGATGATTCTGTGGTTTCCCTATATTTACTTTGCAGTAGCTGTTTTAGCTCTAAACCAGTCTGAGAAATAGTCTAATCTATATGAAATGGTACTTCTTTCTTTAAAGTTACTACAAATGACACTTTCTTGAATGGATCACAATTGCAGCACAATCTGATGGATTTGACTCCGACTGCACATAATTCCACTGAATAAAATCAGACCTATCTCTTATATATTGAACTCTATTTGCAACAAAAATATGCAATAATATCCTTTGGCTTAATTGCCTTAATACAGTTAAGACCAATCAGGAGCCCTACTTCTGCATCATCATTGTAAGGCATCAGTACCTCAACTATTCTTTGGAAATGTGGCCACTCTATGGCAGTTTCAGATCTTGGTATTTGATATTACCTACAAGGAATTACGTTTCTAGAATAAGCATGAGGCAATGGTATGTATTTTCATACATACCCTTTACAATTAGACCACAAGTTTTAGAGCATGTAATAGTTTGTTCACCATTCACAATAGCTGTTCTTAGATGAACCTCTGTTCCACCAATATCTAACTTACCTAGATTACTGTTTTTGATAAAACATACATCAAAGTGATCATCAAGTAATGCATACACCAAACCTTTCTTCTGCTCGTCACTTTTATGGTGCAAACACACAGGAACTATCATTGAGTTAACATCCATGGCAATACACTTGTTAACTTTAATTGTATTAGAAACAACAGCCTCTTTTTCTTGTTCCTTAACATGAACTTTATTTTCAGTAGGTTTTAATCTATCACAAATTTTGCACTTCTCCTTTCACTGCAATATCTTGTCATGTGCCCTCTCTACATAATTTGTTTTTATCAACCAAATTCTTTTTGTCTTTCAAATTGAGACTTGGAAATCTATTACAATTATTAAGATTAGGTAGCTGATGGCAAAATGGGAAAGCAAATCTACTACTGTCACTCACATTATTAATTTGACTGGTTTCTGTGACAAAGCTCGTCACTGACCTTGACATGATTTTTTTTTAAACATTTACAGGTACATTACCTCTAACACTTTTATCTTGAACTGCAGTGGAATACTGAAGTATGTCACCTTTGAAGACTATTGGTTCAGGCCTTGGAAGTGAGTCACTAATTTGCCTAGCACAAAGAATTTCAGTTATTTGTTGAATGCATCCTTTTCTCCTGTTTTCCCTGAACAAGAAAGTTTATCTGTTTGATTAACTAACACCTCATCCTTTGTAAGAAATGAATTAGCTTTAGGATTCAGATTACTCACATATTCATCAAGGTTTAGTCTCTCTCTCAAATCTTCTTTCAGTGACTCTCTTACTAATTTGTAATGCATCACATCATTTAATTTAATTAATTTAATTTAACTGTATACTCAGATACAAAATGCTTATGGTGTGGCAATATTTTCAAATGGGACTCCACGTAACTTTTTGTATAATCTTGCTTACTCCCAAAATTTACTTCATCTGGGGTAAAAAGCTTAATGTCAACCCCTGATTCTTCTAGTTTTGCATTTCAGTTTAATTTTTGATCTTCATTATTTTTAAGTCTTGCTCTGCTAACTTCTCAATTAGTTATTCCTTACTTTTTGATGAAGAAACTCTCGAATGCCTACAATGTCCACTACTCCTACTACTACCTGCAACTTGTAAAAACTGTTTTGATCTTTCTCTGATGTCAAATACAAGCCTTTGTGTGTCTCCCTCACATTTAATATATTAATCTGAAAATTTATTAGAAGGCTCTAGAGCTTCATATCTATAATATGCATACTATACAGTTTCAAACTTGGCTACTAGTGAAGACCTGGCTTCCTTAATTTGATTAAATTCTAGATCATCTAATCTACTATATCAATTATATCAAAGTAAACTCTCTTCCAAGCAGATTTTGCACAC